ATTACAAATGAGTTTAAACTTTTTTATTATTATTATTTTTACTTTGTAGTTATTCTCCTTGGAATGCTTGTTCATCTCTACACCTTTCTCTGAATATTTGTAGAATCACTCTTAGTGACCAGAATGGTTCTAATGGACATCAAATAACACCATCTTTATTTTCTTACTTAGATTAGCATCATTTTCTTCCCTTTTTGTCAGAAATTTCACCGTAAAATATGAGAAAGGAGATTATTTTAAAAACTTATATACTCTCACTAATCTTTTGGATTTTTGCTCATTTGATAGGTAATAAGTGACTTTTTAGTATTAATTTGTACTTTACTAAGTTTCTTTCCTGTGAGTTGTCTGTATTATTTACTTGTTCTAATTTGTAGAAATTTTTTATATATTAAGGAAATTAGCTTTATGTGCTATATGCATTGCAAATATTTTTCTTGGTTGTTGCTTTTGAAATTGGTCATGATGGTTTATCAGCTTTCTTCAGAGTCACTGACAAAAGTATTGACCAGGACAGGGCCCTCTCCTATATTACTAGAGATTTTCAGGTAAGGCTGATAATTATTACTCTTTCAGTACATGAATTTGCCTAAAAGAAATATCCAACTGTATTTCTTTTCCTCTACTCACAGATCAGTAGACATGGTAGTTTTAGGAACTATCTAGGAAAACCAGCAGCTAGCTGGGAAAATCAGCAGCTTTGCTGCCAGATGGGGTAGACTTGATTTGAGGCTGAGGGAAGGTGGGTTAAACCTTTGGCTTTATCAGCTAAAAGTAGCAAACTCAGTTTGAAGGAAAGGGAGTATCCTATATCTTTGTTAGCCAGGGTTTAAAAAAAAAAAAAAGGAATAAAGGCTAGACATATTTCAGCAGCCACACAATATGGGTGAGACAAATATTGCTAAGTCCAAGCAATTTACTTCAAAGAAAACAACTCATAGAAAAATCCAAATCCAGAGTTGTTATGGTATATTAACTAAGATGTCCAGCTTTCAACCAAAAATTGAGGCATGCAAAGAAACAGGAAACTAATATATTCAAGAAAAAAAGCAGAAACTAGACATAAGACAACCTATCATACAATTCTATTCCCATGACATTTCTAGATAAAGTATAACTGTAGAAAGCAGATTAGTGGTTGCCTGAGATTGGGGATACAAGAACTTTTTGAATGATGGAGGTGTTTTAAAATTGTATTGTGTTGATGGGTGCACAATGTATAAATTCACTAGAAATCATTGATCTGTACTTTTAAAATAGATGAATTTTGTTAGATGTAAATTATACCTCATTAAAGCTGTTAAAATTGGGGGTGGGGAACCAACATTTTTAAAATGACATATGCTATTAGTGATCTCAACTGTTGTGACTACCTGCATACCATTCTGTTCTCACATAAAAGTAAATAAATAACCATTTGTGGTCTATTAAAGTAATTATATATAGCAATTGGTGGTACTTGACAGTAGTGCCTACTGTTTATGTAGAAATGAATAATTCTTGTTAAAAGTGGTAATGTGTAATGTCCTTAGAATGAATTGTGTATTCACTTTTCTTTAAGGAACTTTTATTATCTTCCATCATTCATTCCTTCTCTTCTTGCTTATTAAATTAAGCATATCCACTCATCTTCACTTTTCTTTTAATGGTGACCGTTGACTTTTAAGTGCTTCTAAGAATATCATCCTGCTGGTTCCCCAATTCACGTGTTGTGCTGCAAGCACTTCACCTGATAGGAATTCTTTCATGTATAAGTTGTGAATACTTTGTAAAAGGATTTATTTAAAGACTGTTCCATTTGAAGTGTTTTCTGATGTTGCATATATCACTTTATTGAATCCCTCAGGCCCCAAAATTACTATTCTTGTCTCTACCCTATTTCTCCGTCTTAGTATATGGTATTGCCATCCTCCCAGTTGCTCAAGTCCCAGACTAGGACCTATCCTTGATTTCTCCTTTCCTTAATTGTAATCCATCACAAATTCTGTTGATTCCAGAATATTTTCTTCAGTCAATAGGCCTACTTTCCCTATTTCCACTGGCATACCATATTAGTCTGTTACCATCATCTCTTGTCAGACTGTACTCAACCTAACTTGTTTTTCCACTTTTATTTTTCCTCATCCTTTATTGACAGTGTATTTATTCCCTGAAAGATGTCATTCTGACAATACTGATCATAAATTACACTGTTTTTACCCTACTTAAAATCCTTTAGTGACATCAACCACATTGGACTCCTTTCTCTTCCTTAAGTATTCTCAAATTCTTCCCTGCCCTAGGACATTTGCACCTGCTATTTTTTCTCCTCCCTTACAGACACCTTCCCTTGACTTGTCTGCTATTTTTTTTATCTTTTAGTTCTCTACTTAAGAATATATTAACTCTTCAGGGAAGCCTTAACTTATTATCCTGTCTAGCAGCCTTTTTACTGTCTCATTGAAGAATTTTCCACCATTGTATAGCAGTTACTCTGTCCTGTTTCTCTTTTATTTACTTTTAATTTCATTTACTACAGTTTCTTACCCTGCTTCATTGTTTTTACCTGTTGTATGCTTTTTTCACTGACACGTTTCCTGAACTTAAAGAGCATATTATAAATAGTAGCTACTTAATAAATACCTGTAGATGAATGAATTATAATTAGTTGGGCAAGTTTTCTTTCTTTAAATCTTAAATGGTATAAGATGGAGGAGTTTTTCACCAAACTTTGCTTTTGATTTGAATCAGCTGTTTTCTTGATACTAAGAATTAGATGAATGTCTTCCCTTCATTTATGTATTTCAAAACTAAGTCGTGGGCCCGCTGATTTTGTGCCTTAAGAATAAGGGAGGAAGGAGGGAGGTTTTGGTAATGGGCCGCAATAATCAACCACATTGTATATTGACAGAATAAAATAAAATTAAAAAAAAAGACTAAGTGTTATTTCATAATTATACTTAATGTTTTAATCAGTTGACTTATTTTGTCACAGTCTTTTAAGAATTATTTTTGACATATCTATTCAGTTTTAAAACATTGTGGATGTGTTGTGTATGTTCATTGGTATAAAAATTAGAACTTTCCATTATGGAGTTTTGTTTTTGTTTTTCTTTTTGTTTCATCTGCCTTTGGCTGGAAAATAACTTGAACAAATGTATCCCCTGCACCAAATAGCTCTAAGGATGGCATACATATTTTACATCTCTGAAAATGAATTTTTACTTTTTAAGCATAAACAACATTATATAGTTTATAATTCTTGCCCTATAGCCCTTTTCCCCTTAGAACTCTAGTAATTATCCTGTTTTACTTAGATTTTTAGCAGTGAGGAGAAAAACAGGGCCATCTTGACTTTTGTTCCTTTGAAAGAACATGTATAGTTGTGACATGTTTTTATCTCATTTTGAATTTCACAGAAACATTTCAGTGGTGGTTGCTTACTTTGTTCGGTTATTATGGAATTCATTCTTAGAGACCAAGTTCTTCATTCAGCTCAGGATAGTCTGCCTCTGTTGTCTTTATTTACTACTGTTCCATTTGTTATAGTCCCTTCTAGAACAATCATCTTGACTAGTTCTGATTTTGTTCTTTATCTTCAATATTTGTCACCGCCTTTGTTTTCTTTATCATTTTTCTATGAATCTGGAAGAGCTTTACACTAATATGAATTTTTTTCCTCAGTGTTGAGTATATTCTTTATTTCTAGTGCAGATTTGTAATATGCTTCTTCATTTGTAGTTTTAAATATTTTCATGTTTTGTAGTTCTTCTTATTTCTTTGTTTTCTTGTACTCTTGTTTTATGGAGTATAAAGATAGAGCAAATATTTTCCTTCGCATTTTGGGTGAGGTCCTCCCTCCCCTTTTCCTTAGTAGTTTTCGTTGTTGTTGTTTTTAATTTTTTTTTAAATAACCCCCTAGTAGTTTTTTTTTCCATAGGACCCATGTGGTTTTCTTTCCTTGTTAATTATTTTTAAATGAGAAGAGGGTTCTCCAGACTTGAATTCCTGTGTTGAAATGTAATGTTGAAATTCCCTTGCCTCTGCAAAATAGACTCCTACGTAGTAGCTCTTTCTGATTTTGGCTCTTAAGTTGCAAAACATCATTACTGAGTCACTAATATCCTGGCCAATTTATGAGGAGTAAATTATGCATCCAAAGGGAGGTAGTAAGAGAATAGCTAACTGGGAGGAAATTTTATGATATAGTACATCTTAGTAGGAAGCACTCTGATAGGGACAAAGTCTTGCCAGACAAACTGTTTGAGATAGACATATACTTTTGTAGAAATCTATATAATTCTTCTTACAGCGCATTGACATATCCTATTCTGTGTTTTACCTGGAGAAAACAACTAGGGTCTGACAGATGAATAACCAATATTTATAGTTCTAACTTGGCAACCTTTTTGGTTTTCATGAATATGTCAATAAAAAGGTGCAGGAAAGTAAATCAGGTATTAATTATGTCATGAAATTTTGTGATTTTATGTTTATATTAAGATGTTACTATTAAGTGATGTTATTTTTTGATTTGTGATATTTTGGAAAATATGCCTTCACAAAATAATCTTATCTATAAATATTAAGTTTGTTCAGATTTATATGTAAGTGTTGTATGTTACAAAAACATTTTATTTCTTAAAATTATGTAGAGTCTCTACATGTTCTTTTTTTTTTTTTTTTTTTCCTTTTTGTCTTTTTTTTACTGACCCGTAACGGGATCACAACCCTCGGTGTCGCGCCCGTACCGGGGACTGGCAACAGGATCGCAACCCTCGGTGTTACGCCCGTACCGCGCTCAGCCAGTGAGCGGGAATCGGTCTCCACATGGGATCCTAACCCTCGGCGGGAGCGCCGCCGCGCTCCCAAGCGGCGCACTCTCCAGTGCGCAACCGGGCCGGCCCATACATGTTCTAATTTGGGATAGTAATTGTTTCCTGACTATTTAAATACGTCTTCCCTCTTGATTCTGTCAGTTAAACTGTTCGATCAGTAAGTCAAACTTCTTTTCTTTGTAGGTAAAGTACTCAACTGTGTAGGATAGTGCATAGACACTAAAAGACTGTAATAAAGTGGCAATGTCTCTGGAACCCACCCCACCTCTACCTGGAGATATGTCTATTGGTCCTATAGCAGAAAGCTGGTGTTACACACAGGTACATGCTGTTTAAAATGCCTTCCTTTATGTCATTTAGAAATATTACAGTATTTTGAGAATATGAGGGTACTTCAAAAAGTTCATGGGAAAATGGAATGAAAGATAATACAAATCTTTATATGAACTTTTTGAAAACCCCCTGTATTATTGTGAAACACTTTGGCATAGTTATTAGAAGTTTTAGGGGGCTGACTGGTTAGCTCAGTTGGTTAGAATATGATGTTGAAACACCAAGTCAAGGGTTCAGATCACCATACTGGCCAGCTGCTCAAAAAAAAAAAATGTTAGAAGAGTAGATCATAGGATGTTTAACATGTAACAATTTAAAAGCATAAGAGTCATCATTATAAAAGTGGTTTTCTGAATCTCTTAGGTTAAAGTTGTAAAATTTTCCTACATGTGGACCATTAATAACTTCAGTTTTTGTCGAGAGGAAATGGGTGAGGTGTTAAAAAGTTCAACATTTTCATCTGGCCCAAATGACAAAATGAAATGGTAAGATTTTTGTTTGTTGTCGTTCTTGTTTTTTGTTTTTGATGTAATCATCAGTGGCCCTTGGTTTTGTTATTGTTGTTGTTCCTGAATGAGTATTAGTCTAATTTTGTATTAGATTGGTAATAAGTTCCTAATAGTATGGAGAATTGTAAAGAGCTGTTGGGGTAATGACAGGAGTGCTGTTCATGATATTAACTAACAAATAATTTCAGTATTGCTTCTCTCTTTTAAATGCTTCAAGTATTATATTCCTCCATGTTGAGCCTATTGTTTTATTTTAGGTGCCTGAGGGTAAACCCAAAGGGATTAGATGATGAAAGTAAAGACTACTTGTCCTTATATTTGCTTTTAGTCAGCTGCCCCAAAAGTGAAGTTCGAGCAAAATTCAAATTTTCCCTTCTGAATGCTAAAAGGGAAGAAACAAAAGCAATGGGTAAGTGATTTGCACACTGAATGAAGTCTCTGTAACTACATACTGTACCTTTACCTAGAAAAGTTTCAGATTTTTTTTCCACTAAAAATTGCTTAACCTAAAACATTTAATTTGGCTATTATTTAATTTTAAATTCTACTATATTGTTATCTTACTAAATCTTAGGCTTCATAAGATATGTAAAAGTAGTTTAAAATAATGTTAACTTCTTCATGTTCTAAAATGACATTTACTTGTCACTTGGAAAAGTAGTGGCTGTTAGGGCAAGGTGCCTGGTTCAGTGCATGGCATGTACAGTAGGTGTTCAAGACATATTTCTGTTTTCCCTTACCTTTTTTGCCAGGTAATAAAAACTGAAGAACAATGTGAGGGAGGTGCAATGTGTTGTCACTAGAACTTTTTGAGCAGTGGACTGAACACTGACTGAAAGGAAATCAGTTTGTCTTAGTCTCAGGGCCTATTAAATTTTGTCCAAGATTCACATATATAGCCAGCTGAAACACTGTATCCTGGATCTTCATAATAGAATATTGTGGGAAATATACAGTGTGCATAGTAGGAAAATATCTCATGAAGTGCCACATTAAATTTGAAATATTTTGTAGAAGTGAGTCACAGAATCAAGTAACTTCATTACAAAAAATCTCCTCCCCACATGTATTTTAAAATAATATATTTTATTGCCAAAATAATATGTATTTTCACATAGTCTCACATTTAAGATAGTGGAGAATTTCAATTACATTTATTACTGATTTTCTACCTTTTTATTTTTTGTGTAGTAGATTATGAATACTTTCTGTAGAGGATCTTGTTTATTTCATAATATACAGTTGTGTAGTACCTTAGACATTTGAAACATTTACTTCAGATATTTATTTATTAAATCTTTTACAAATTATACTAAAAACAGCTTTTTGGCTTTTATGAAAGTTTTTTTTTTTTTTTTTAAGGGATAAGAAGATTATGTCTAGAGACTTAGGAATGATGAGGGACTTTGTTTAGCCTTTTCACCAGTTAATGTATTTTTCTGTAGTTCAGTAAAACTTAAATCAGTTTGATGGGTGTGTCAGGAAAGCTTAAAAGATGCCTGATGACTTAGAGCATTAATTTTTAGAAGGAAAAACAGGAAATAAGTATGTTTCTAACCAGGTTCCGATATTAGATAATGAATAGTATGCTTATGCCAACATATTCTGATCTTGTTTCAGTGTCTTATAGGGCCTAGATTGTTTAAAAGATTTCTTCTTTCTCCATGAGATTTGATCTGGCTTTTCTATTTAAAGATCCAGAAGTTTGAAGTTGAGCTCATTGATGCCAAAATTTGAGTAGCAATGCAAAATGATCGCGTTCTACCTGATTTAACTTACGACATTTTATGTATGAACACACATATCTGTAATTTTTATGATAGATGTATTGGCCAAGTTCTATTTCTGCATGTTTTATTTAACTGTGTTATTAAGAAAAATGTCTCTTGGGTACTTGTTTTATTTAAACTTCTATTCTTTTTTCCACCAGAAAGCCAAAGAGCATATCGATTTGTGCAAGGGAAGGACTGGGGTTTTAAAAAATTCATTAGAAGGGATTTTTTGCTTGATGAAGCTAATGGTCTTTTACCAGATGACAAGCTTACATTATTTTGTGAGGTAGGTACATTTTTTACTACAAGGAACTTTATAGTTATATTCAGTGATACGGCAAAGTATAAGCTGAATTAATATTGAGTATAGTTTAAAAATTAATTAGTATAACTGATAAAGTTTTATTTCTAAATGCTTGACCAGAAAAAGCTGATTAGATTGTCGTCGTACAAATCAGTGTGATAGCCCATTGTGAAAAAATTTTGTCATATCTCAAACTATAAATTGAATTTGCAGTTATACTACCACATACTAATTCCTTCTTGAAAAAACTGTGGATATGTACATCTTTATATGAACATTTCTAAATAACTTCTTTACTGTGACTGACTCGTAGGTGGTCAATATTTTTTATTTTCAGATTGATCATATTAAACATTATTACTCAGTTTATCAGTTTGAATACAGAAGTTCCTGGAAAAGTGAGAAGCTTTCTGATTAATCAAGCATTTGGGTTAATTTAATCAAATAGGTATTAGCATTCTAAGAAATAGATATCAGATTTTTAAGATACTCCTATGTCTATTGACAAACTTATGAGGTGTATTTATATGCATAAAACGTTCTATTTTGAAAGTTACCAGCATTACCTCTGTCATAGTTTACACTTGTGATTTGTCTTAATTTGAGGTTTGAATTTGTTAATGTCATTGTTGTCGTTAAGTAGTTTTATCTATGCGAATTTTTGAGATCTGTCTTCAGGGTAAATTAAAGGATTATATTACCAGCACAATTTACAGAGATCAGTAACAGTTTTATTGAAATATTTAAGGCAGTTGGTAATTTTCATTAAAAAGGCAGTGAAAAGGTTATGATTAAGTAAACTAAACATTAAATATATTTCAACACATTGTGAACAGATGAATGTTGTAGAAAGCACAATAACTTTCTTAACTGCTACTAAGTTAACTTTGATCTTTTTATAGTAAATGTGTAAAATTTTTTGGCAAGATTACAAATTAATTCTATGTCATTATGTTGTCAGAAGAATAATTGAATTATGACCCCAGAGACTATCTACTTTACTTATTTTCACTTAGACAAGTTAAATGGACTGTATGAATTTGTTATGAATACAATTATTTGGTTGATAAAGCATATACCACAAGTCTCTTGAGCAGGGCTTATAATTAAATAATTTAGGGAAAAAACATAGTAACGAATTTGTTGCGGACTGTATGAATTTGTTATGAATACAATTATTTGGTTGATAAAGCATATACCACAAATCTCTTGAGCAGGGCTTATAATTAAATAATTTAGGGAAAAAACATAGTAACGAATTTGTTGCCAATAGATATTCTAAGTAGTATTCTAAATAAATGTTAATGCTATTTAAAATTTTTAGCACACTTAAAGTAGATTCTTCCAGAATTTTAGCATTTCTCTTAAATTTTGAAAATGTTATCTTAGAATTTAAAGAAACTTAAAGGCTATTTAATCCGATTTTTAAAACACAAAACAAAACAACTACAGCTAAAGTCATTTTGTTAATGAACCTTTTTAGAAAATACTTCCTTTTTTAGAGTTGAAATACTGTTTACAGATATTTTCCTAACTATATTGTACTGGAACCTAGACAAACAAGAAATTCAGAATTAAGGCTGAAATTGTTTAGGATTTTTTTTTTTTTTAATAAGTATTTTTGAAGTGTGCTTGGTATCCATATGCTAGATTATACATGTTAGTGACCCACTAAAAATAGAACCCACCATGACATACATTTTTAAGTTGGCATTGATCAGATTCGTTTTTGGTTCCTGAAATATGCATCTTTTTACTGATGTAGATGTTTCTACCTTGGGCACCGTACTTAGCATAGGTGGGCAAAAAGTACTTCTGACCAACATTCTTCATGCCCTCCATTGTTTCTTCCGCCCCTCTCATGGATGCCCTTCCTTCTACAGCATCTCCAGCACTGCTTGCAGAAGAGGAGGAAGCATTGCACTGCCCTACCTAAAGAACTGCCTCCTCCCCCTCCCCTGCAAGTGGTGCTGTAGACAGGTAAGGCAGTTCGGTGCTACTCTTTTTGTGCAAGACATAGCTTAATCTTGCAAATTCATATAGTGGTTCAAGTGGACAGAGGTAGATGGAGATTTCTAGCAATGTAAATAGCTCTGTCCTCTCTCTCCCCAAGTGATGCAGAAAACAATAGCTGAGGAATACATAGCAAAAATAGAAACCTGGTTAGATTAATTTATCTACAGACGCATGCCATTTCATGATATACAGAAAAATATCTATGTACAGATAAAATATGTACAATGAGTTTTTCGTGAAGTAGATTCTTTTTTTAATTAAGTACATATCTTTTTTTCCAATTCTATTTTTCTTTTGCTGAAATAACCTTTCTGTTTCAAAATACTTGTGATAATGGGTGGAAGTAGGGTTTTATTTTCTAAAAAGCCCTTTCTTGGTAAAATGAAAAGTTGACTACCTTTTTCTGTCACCAGATTTTTAAAAATGATACCTATCTATGAAAGTCAAAAAATCTAAGACCTGCTATTCTAGAAGACAGTGTGAAATTGGACTATTAAAAGTTTCTCACTTTAGAGCCAATGTGGGGAGTGGTTAAGTAGTTTATTAGATTGATGAAATTATAGTATTATGCAGCTTTGGAGATTCCTAGCTTTTAGAATTAGAATTCAGATTTTTTTTTTTTTTTACCTTTTTGTCTTTTTTCGTGTCCGGCAACGGATCGCAACCCTCAGTGTCGCGCCCGTACCGGACCGGGACCGGCAACGGGATCACAACCCTCAGTGCTGCGCCCACATCTCGCTCAACCAGTGAACGGGAACCGGTCTGCATGTGGGATCCGAACCCTCGGCGGGAGCGCCGCCACACTCCCAAGCGGCGCACTGTAGCAGTGCGCCACTGGGCTGGCCCTAGAATTCAGATTTTTAAAAAATGGAATCAGTAGTCACTTTAGTTCCACATTAAATGAGATCCAGATTTTCAGTGTAGTAACAGAGTTGATTAGATCCTTCACATGTTCATTTTCAGTCTAAATGATATTCTCAGGGTAGAGAAAATTAAATTTGAAAAAGGGCTGTCAAATGAGTTTGACGTTTTGCTTTGCAACATTTGACAGTTTTGAGTATTATGCATTTGCCTTTTTTTTTTTTTTTTTTTTTTACTTGAAAGAAGAACAAATTTGACCTCAGGAAAGAATCTCAGCCTTTTTCCTGAATTTTTTATTCTAGGTTCCATTCAATAAGAGTGTTCATTACCTGTATTTGAATATGTACTAGAGAAAACTAAATTTTTATCATTTTTTAAATTATAGGTATCAAGAAAAGAATCGTCAGAATTCATTGCATATCAATTTTTAAGTAGATCACTAATTTCTACTTTATAAATAGTCCCTTGAATACTTTAGAGTATGAAATGTTAATTCTGTATCTTAGTTAAAATTTGTGATTGCTGTGATAGTAATGTGTAGATAGGTATGTCAATAATACAAATTCTTCTGAATTAAGATCGCTTATACAGAATACAAATATAACATTATCAATATGTGTCCGATAATGTCTTTATTTTTTTAATCTTTTTATTCTGACACCTGATTTTTGCCAAATTTTTATATTAAATATATTATTTTGATTTAGGTTGAGAGACAATAAATAGAATTCAAGAAATCTTTTTTTAAATTAAATATATCACATTTTTATTACTCGACTGCATATTTTTATGCAGGTAATTGAACAGATCCAGTTCCTTCTGTATAGAAGTTTCAAGAGCAGTGCTCATTATGAACAAGTAAATAAGGTCCGTGTGCTAAAAAAAAAAGCTGATCTCTAACTAAACCCTGAATATTAACATCAACATTTTTGGTTTATATATTTTTAGGTTATAATATGTAGTGGAACAGGGCAGTCAGGTAAAGGATTAGTGAAGCTTTTCTGTTTTGTGGTTATTAAAATTTTAGAAACAATTTGAGTGATTTAAAACTTGAATAGGATAGGAGAACCTTTATTGGTGGATTTATTTATGTGCACAATATCTTGGCTGCCATATTTAGAAAAACATCTTACAAGATTGTTGTGAAAAATGCTTTTTTATTGTAATTGTGTTAAAGTAATATTACTAATTTTAAATAATATTGAAAACAAATATTGATTAGTACAAAAATCCATAAGAAAAAGGAATCTGAAGATTCGGCTCCAGTCTTCCTCTGATATTAACTAGGAATGTGATTTAGAACACTAATTTGGCTTGGTCTCAGTTTAAAATCTCTGTATAAAATAAGGTGAATGGATTAGATGGTTTCTATGACACACAGGATTTATAAAGGTTAATATGGAAGTTGGGGTGAAAAAAGTAGTTAATAAAAATATCTTTGGAAAATTAAAGCTTTCGTTGTTTCTCTTTAGAAGCATCCATTCAGTCACATGAGATACAGTTCTACATCTGTGTGAATCAGGACTTCTCTGACTTACTATTCTCCAAACATTTTACTCTGGACCATTATTTTACTTTGTGTGTTAGCATGTTAGTAGTTTGGTCCAATTTATCCATTTCTAATGTACATTTTCTGTGTAGTTTATTATATTTATTAAAGGCCTTATGAAATGTTTTTAAATGATTATACCTATGTATTGCTGCATAACAAATGATCCCAAAACTTAGCAGCTTAAAACAACAATAGATAGGTAACTAATAACAACAACATTAGATAACTAATACAGCACTTTTTTCTTTTTTTTAAAGTTTCATTTACTCTAAAACATTTGCTTTACTAGTTGAGGTAGTGTTTTTTTTTAATTTATTAAACGTAATGTGAAATTTCTAATAATATAGTAGAATGCCTTTTCTTAAAAGTGGTCTGCAAGACTTAGTAGTGTTTTAGGAGATAATTTCATTGATATCATACTGGAATCTACATAAAAGCAGTGCTGTAATCATACAACTTTTATTTTTCATTTCATAGGTAAATGTCTGCATATCGAAATAAATTATATTTGTATTGCTCTTGCCATTGATTTTTTTTATAGAATATTCTCATGAACTTTAATAATTATGATTGCTTTTGTGAGAATTCTTGTACATTAAAATTTACATCAATTTTACTAGATATTTAAATCAATTTTGCTAGAGTTGAAACATGTAGGAATTATACTTTTTTAAAAAAATCCCAGTTTGTGTATCATATACTGTAGTTTTATATAACCTTTTTCCTATATCAAAAAGTCGTTATGAGCCTTATACTACTTTTATTGTATGTATAGTAAAATTTAAATATTGATAGGTCTGAAGTTTAAGTGAGGAAATAAAAGAGAAATTTCTTCCCCCACCTCAAAAAAAACCCTTATTTGACTTAACATCAGATTGTGACTTTTCTGTTAAGAAATAGTTTTGGTAATTACTTTAATAATCAAGCATTCCAAACAATCCATAAGCCATTTATTTACATAAAATATCTCTATTGGAAAAGATTAGTAATCTTTTCTATATTATTTCTCTTTCTTTCTATATTATTTTTCTCCTTTAAATTGTATCCTTAAAATTAATTCCTGGGTATTAGGATTTTTGATAAGGAATACATTGAATTTTCCAAATGATTTTAAAGATAAAAAAAATTAAAGTTTTAAACTTAGTAACTAATTAGTGATATTAACTTGTGAAAGTGTTTTTCTTGCCATCACTTTTTTATTAGGTGAGTGTGGTCCAAGATTCAGTAAACATATCAGGACATACTAATACAAACACATTGAAGGTGCCTGAATGTCGACTAGCGGAAGATTTAGGTAATCTCTGGGAAAACACAAGATTTACAGATTGCAGTTTTTTTGTGAGAGGAGAAGAATTTAAAGCTCATAAATCTGTGCTTGCAGGTACTTTTCTATTTTCGTGTTCCATAGTACATTTTTTAAACAAATTTGTGCATTAAATAATGATGCTTACTCTTGTTACAGCTCGATCCCCAGTTTTTAATGCAATGTTTGAACATGAAATGGAAGAAAGCAAAAAGGTAAACATGGTTTAATATTTAATTTGTACAAATGTAAAATAGTGGAATTTATATTTTAAAAATAACAGTGCATGTTCTTATTGTTATACTATAATAAATGGGGAAAAATTTAAGAACAAATAGAAAAATGGGAGAAAAAAATCCGTTCTCTAATAAAATAATGTGGATTCTTAGTGAATATTCCAAGTAACAGCTATTTTGATGCCCATCTGGTGTGTAAATAAATCAGTATTTGTTATCTAAAAGGATGGTTATGCAAAAGGACTGTTCTGGTGCATAGGTATTTTAGAGGTTTCTGATTAGGATGTATATGCTTCCTTTCTAGACTTTATGGGTTGATTTGGGGATTTGTTTTCTAGCATAACAAAAATAATGTCTGCATTCTTTTCAGCAGTAAAATGAGAGGGTATTTATTAAATTTAAGAAAAAGGACATAGATTACATCAGTACTGTATACTAACTATAATCAAGATATTACCTATTTAGCTCCCTCAGATGTTTCTTTTACGCCAGTCATCTTGAAATGTAGTTATAGAGCTCAGAGGTTGATTCTTTGCTAGTTGCAAAACAAGTGAGCCTTAGGGCTTCAGCAGGACAACTACAGAGTTTTATTCATGTGGCTCAGCCTTATCCTTTCTGCAGAACCTAGAGGCTGCGACAAAATAGCTGCTTTCCTTTGACTTTTGTTCTCGGGAGGTGCTGTGATCAGCCTTCTGATCACTTCCAAGTGGGGAGACATCAGTGATGTAAGATGTTATTTGCAGCAAAGGGTCAGAAAGTTTGGTGTTGTTTAGTGTTAGATATTTAGCTCCATTAATCTCAGGAGAGAAGTGAAATACAACAATGTAGAAGTAAAAAACAACTAGTCCTCTTTGGACTTCTGTGTCTTAAGTAAGGAGGTGCCAGTAGATAATATCACATGCCATTTTTGTAAAAGGAGAGTTCGAAGTAGTGAGCTCTGTTATTTTCTATCTCTATGTTCGTATAATGCTGGGAATAGAACCCTTGGTTGTAGGGTCTTAAGCATTGTACTTGGACTTAGGAATACAATGAAGAAAAGTTAATAGCCATCATCCTCTAAGATAGAGGTTAGAAACTGAAAACAAATGTTATTTTGTTTGACCTACAATTTTTGTTTGTTTGTTTGCTTGCTTGCTTTTTGTTTTTCTCTTTTTAATTTAGAAATTGGGGCTTATATTCCCATATAGTAGTGCTTGGCTTGGTTGGAGTATCAGATATGGGCTCTCCAGCTAGTCATGATTCCCACCTTCCATACAGTATATGTTTTTCTTCTTATACTTGCCCTCTTCACTTTTCTTGATTAGCTTACTGAAGATTTACTCACTTCAGTTTTAAAATACAGTTCAGAAATATCCGTAAATGTGTTATTTGAGCTATAAAATACTTTACTGCATATTTGGGGCTTTTAGATACTGTCGAAGGTTCACTCTGGTTCATTTGTGTATGCATGTTCTTTATGTTTAAATTTTTTGTGTTGTTTTTAATATTAGAATCGAGTGGAAATAAATGATTTAGACCCTGAGGTTTTTAAAGAAATGATGAGATTCATTTACACAGGGAAAGCACCAAACCTTGACAAAATGGCTGACAACTTGTTGGCAGCTGCAGACAAAGTAAGTAATTAAGCCTTAAAGAGCTGGAAAATACCTTCAAGCTTGATGTATATTAGAAAGCTATCATCAAATGAAAACTCTACATATCTTGAAATACTGGATTAATTTATGCTATTTGTAGATGGCTCTTGAGAGTTTTATGAAATAGCATATAGTGGGATAATATGGAAATGAGATTTTTTAAAAAAATTTACAAGATGTAAAAATACCTTGAGCAATTTTTTTCATAGGAGATTAAACTTATAAGCTTAATAGTTTTGAGCATGTTTACTCCCTTTTATGAGGACACACACAATAGCATATGTAACTTATTGTAATTTTTGAATATTCTTAGGCTGAAGATATAGCACATGACTTTTTTTTAAAGGATAAAATATCGGGTATTTTGTGTAATTTAATTATATGTATTTATAGATATATGTTTTAATAAGACATCATAGAAAGAGGAAAAAGAGTGTTAATTTTATAATGCTCTTTTGTAATAGTGATTTCTTGAAGATGGGGAAGCTGAAAAATATCAGAAAATCTCAAAGCCAGTGGTTCTCAATCCTAAAAGCACATCCAGTATATAAAGCACACATATATGTGTGTATGTTTGTATGTATGTATACAGAGGTACTTCAAAAAGTTCATGGAAAGATTCGCATTATATTTCAATTCTGTTTTTTTGTGACCCTTTTGAAGGACCCTCATATGTATGTGTATATATATATATATATATTTATGTATATATGTGTATAGATAGAAGGATGGTATATGCATGTGTGTATCTGTGTGTATATAACATTTGAAAAATGTTACCATTAGGGGAACCTGGGCCAAATGTATATAGAATCTATCAATAAGAATTTAAATTACAAAATACCATTTACAATAATATTCAGAAATATTAAATACATAGACATAAATCTAACAAGAGATGTTCAAGCCCTGTACTTTCAAAGTTATAAAATAATGCCAAGAGAAGTTCAGGAAGATCAAAATAGATAGAGAGATAAATCTTGTCCATGGATTGAAAGTCACAATGTTGTTAAAAGGACAGTTCTCTTTAAAATTGGTTAGTAGAATCAACATGGTTCTGTCAAAATCCTAGCAGATTTTTTTTAAAGGAATTGACAAGTTGATTAAACAATTTATGTATAAAGTGCAAGGATCTAGAATGATCAAATAACTTTAAAAAAGGTTACTGCCTAGATAGGAGGACTTATTTTAAAGCTTAATAATTAAGACTGTTGTTTTGGTGTTGAGATAGACAACTCTGTGGAACAGAATAGAGAGTATCATAATAGACCCTAAAATATATGGATATCTAATTTTAATCAAAAGTACAATTACAATTCAGTGGAGAACGGATAGTTGTTTTCAATAAATGATGGTGGAACAATCGAATATCCTTATGCCCAAAAATGAACTTTTTTTTCATACCTCACACTATATACAAAAGTAATGCAGTTATAAACCTAAAAATCTAAAATTTCTAAAAGAAGACAAAGAAGAAAGTCTTTGTGATCTTGGTTTTGGCAAAGATTTCTTAGCTGTGGCACCAAGAATGTGATTCATAAAAGTAAAAAATGATAAAGTGGACTTCAATAAAATTTTAAATTTATTTTCTTCAAAAGACAGGAGGATAAAAAGATTAGCCACTGACTGAGAGAAAATACTTGTATAGCATGTATCTAATGAGCAGCATTCATCCAGAATATATCTAACTTTTGTATTCAGACTATATAAAGGACTCTCAAAACTGAATTAAAAGAAAACAGTATTATTTCTAAAAATGGACAAAATGTTTGAACAGACACTTCCTGAAATAATGTCAATAAAGTACAATAAAAGATGCTGAGCATGATTAGTCATTAGGGAAGTGTGAATTAAAATCATCATGAGATACTTCTACACACCTATTATAATGGTTAAAATTACAAAGACCATACTAAATGTTGTCAAGGATGTGATAGAATTAGGACTCCAGTCCCCTACTGAATGGAATGTAAAATGGTACGACTGCTTTGGAAAGCTGTTTGGCAGTTTCTTGAAAAGTTAAATTTACCGTAGGATCCAACGAATTTACTTTTAAGTTTTTACCCAAGAGAGAAGAAAGCATGTTTGCATACAAAGACCTGTATATGAATATTTATAGCAGCTTTATTTGTAATAGCTAAGAACTGGAAACAAGCCAGATGTTCATCAACAAGTAAATGGATAAACAAATTGTGATGTACCTATACATAATAGAATATTACTCAGCAATAAAAAGGATTAAACTATTGATACACAGGCAACGACATGCATGGATATCAAAATAATAATAATGAAAGAGCTAGACAAAAATGAATACATAGTGTATGATTTTATTTATAGAAAAAGCCAACTAGCCTACAGTAATAGAGAGCATATCTGAGGTTTTGCTTGGGATGGGACAAAAGGGAAAGATTACAAAGGCATAAGAGGAAACTTTTGGGGATGATGGGTACATTCACTGTCCTGAGTTGATGGATTTATGTGCACTTTATTGTATGTCAGTTATACCTCAAAGCTGCTAAAGATTTTGTATTATATAACATATACACTAATAACTGCAAGAACTTATCATGGTTATGAATATGATTTGTTTAGCTTTATAATTCATTCATTCTTCAAGTTAGTGGAGGCAACATGCAGTGTACAAGATTGGCAAGATTCAGTGGTGGCAACATGCAGTGTACTGGGTGGTACAGTCTAGTGTTTGAAATAGTAGAGAAGAGAAATATACACATTAAGAATATTGAGTAATAAGGTAGCTTTTTAAAAGAAACTCTATTTTAAGAATATACTGCATTTTGTACTTAATGCAAATTGAAATTTTCTGAAGAAGCTAGTCTTTCTCCTAAATGCATTTATTCATATTTTCTTCATATTAGGTTAAAACAAACAATGATTTGAAGACTTTTAAAATAACTTAATTTCAAAGAATAATGTGCTTTAACTTTATGTTCTAAGTTTCAGATATTATGTATTTGAAAACTTCAGTTGTTGGAATAAACGTTTAATGGTTATATGTTTTCCTTTTGGATAGTATGCACTGGAACGGCTGAAGGTCATGTGCGAAGAAGCTTTGTGTAGTAACCTCTCAGTAGAAAATGTTGCTGATACCCTTGTCCTTGCAGATTTGCACAGTGCAGAACAGTTGAAAGCACAAGCCATAGACTTTATTAATAGGTAAGCTATGCTTGTATTTTAGTGCGCATGACACCTTCAACATTTTTTCTTTGGCCTTTTTTTTAAGTGTGTTTAAATCTTCAATGCAGGTGCAGTGTACTTCGACAACTTGGGTGTAAAGATGGGAAAAACTGGAACAGCAAGTAAGATGACATCAGTTTCTGACTTAAAGTTGATCTGCATAAATGAAATTGTTTGCATAGCCTTTTGTTCATCTACAATAAGTACGAATCCAGATGTTAGTTACTTTAAGCAAACTGCCAGTTATTTAAAAAAAATAATTTGACTACTCAGTGGATTCCTGAGGCTATGCTCCCTTGTGGATCAGCTTCAAATGCAAACTGGGGTGGACACTCTAATTTCTTAAGCACATATGCCACATGGTGTATAGCTGAATCCAGGTATTATCAGGGCTGCTAGAGATCCAGCCCCTGCTCCTTCAGAAAACATTCCTAAAAATGTGGGAAATATTTAGTCATATGAGGAATGTACCCTCCAGATTTGCTTTAAAAGTCTTTATGTTTAATGCTAACTCACTGCTTCTTAGGTTAGCCAAGTACCTTAGATCATATGCTATACAAGAGTACTTCAGAAAGTTCATGGAAAAATAGAATTAGAAGATATTTGAAGTATTCTCATATTAGGCTAGCTGCTTGTATTCCAAAAATGGTAGCAATTTGATCTTTCTTTTTCCCTGGTATATTTATCACTGATTGGATAGCTGCTTTATCTTTTTAAGCCTGGATCTTCTGAATATGAACTATTCGAACTTATTATTCCCTACTTTTTTTCTCCTCTCATTTTTAGAGCGACTTTCCTATTCTTTGAAATTATTTGAAATCAAAAAGGGGGGAAAGAGTTGGTAGATTGAAGATTTCACATTTTCTTTTAATTAATTTTGCCTGTAAACCCTTAATTCCATTTTCTCAAATTGTCAAGATGATGAAAGTAAAAAAAAGAGGACAGTGGTAAAAATAATAAAATAAACTAGTTTGTTGACTTTTTTTCACATTGCTGTCATTAGTTCTCATATATGTGAAGTTGGTTAACTGAATTCCTATTAGTTTGTGAACTCTGTTTTCTGAAAGTAAAAACTAGTGATTACTTTTCAATTATTGGTTGTACTTTATATTGGTCAGTGTGTAATAATATGGTATCGTTATGGTTTGTGATCCTAGAAAAAAAATCATTTTGAATTTAAAATATACTGTATTTGCAGTAAATTGACAATTCTGTGATTCTTTAAACTTAGCCAGTTTCAAGCTCTATTTTATTCTTGTATTAGTCCATTTTCTGTTGCTTATAATAGAATAACTGGAACTGGATAATTTATAAGAAAATGAAACTTATTTCTTACAGTTTGAGAGGCTGGGAAGTCCATGGTCCAGGGGTTGCATTTGATGAGGGCCTTCTTGGTGGGGGCTCTATTCAGAGTCTCATGGCAACAGAAGATATCACATGGCAAGAATGGCAGGAGCTCTTTAAGGTGCTCTCCTTATAAAGCTGCCAGTGCCTTTCCTGTGACAAGCTACTAAACTATTAACCCATTATTCCATGAATGGATTAATCCATTTCTGGGAGCATGGTCCTCATGATCCAATCACCTCTTAAAAGGCCCCACCTTTCAAATACCATATTTGGATTTCCCACCCTCTTAATACTGTTACAATGGGGATCAAGCTTCAGTGAGTTTTGGGAGGACATTCAATCCACAGCAACTCTGTTAAGAAAATACTTAACATTTTATATAACTTTTTCATTGTCAAAGAGTATTAGCTTATTTTATACCCCATTGGAGAAGCTGTGTGATGTGTACAGACCTTCAGTAGGTATTTATTGAATTAATAATGATCAGGTACATTAAGAGTTATCTGTGTCGTTCTAAACAACTAGTTGAAATTTTAAACATAATGACACACTAGTAATTTGATGTTTGGCAAATAAAAAAATTGTTTTGTTGATACCAGCTGCTATTTAGTTTAACAACCATTTACCCAGCATCTACTGTTTGTCGAACACCATGCTGGGATGCTATATATAAAAAGAATATTGAGGGGAAATGCTTGTTCTTGAGAAATTTATCTAATGGAGATGGATACAAGAACATACTATTTCATTATAATATGGTAAGTAATATAGAGGAGGATATGTACAGGCACTTGATTAAGCCCGGAGATTTAGGGGTGGCTTAGTGGAAATGCCTGAGTTAAGTCTTAAAACATGAATAGGAGTTAGAACTTGGAAGGAGCAGGCATTGCAGAGCGAAAGGTTAGTTTTTTTTTTTTTGTCTTTTTTCCGTGTCCGGCAACGGATTGCAACCCTCAGTGTTGACCCCGTACCGGACCGGGGACCGGCAACGGGATTGCAAGCCTCGGTGTTGCTCCCGCGCCTCGCTCAGCCAGTGAGCGGGAGCCGGTCTGTATGTGGGATCCGAACCCTCGGACGGGAGCGCCACCGCGCTTCCCAAGCGGCGCACTATCCAGTGCACCACCGGGCCGGCCCTGAGTTAAGTCTTAAAACATGAATAGGAGTTAGAACTTGGAAGGAGCAGGCATTGCAGAGCGAAAGGTTAGCATGAACCAAAGTATGGAAACATCAAGCAGTAGCTGATCATTTGACAGATACTTATATTTTATTATCTAGTAAGTTACCAAGGCACTGTGCTCAGTACAAATATAGCGGTGAGCATGACAGATGTTTTCTCTGCCTTCATGGAGTTTATGATTTAGCAGCAAACTAATTAAACAGGTAATTAAATAGTTAATTGCAATAAACTCTGATGATAACGAATGTATAGCATACCTATTTAGGAGCATTATATATACATAACAAAGTGGTCTAACCTAATCTAGAGGCCAGAGAAGGCCTTTTCAAGGGATTGTTGTAAAAATAAAGACCTGAAGTACTGGTAGGAATCAGTCTGGTGAAGAAGAGGGAAGAGAGGAAGGAAAGTGTGTGCTGGAAAAAGAGAATAAGATGTGCAAAATTTGGTGATGAGATAGAGCAGTGGTGTGTTTGTGTGGAGCCGGGGAGATAATGAGAAAAAGCGGGAGAAGGCAGGCAGCAGTCAGATCCTGGAAGACCATGTAAAATAACATTAAGACTTTAAAGCATTATTCAGAGAGTAGTGGGCATCCAGTAAGGGGGTTTTCACCTAGGGCAGGGTATGATCATGTTTATATTTTAAACATTCTCTCTGTATGCAGGTTGGAGAGAATGGATTGTGGGAAGATTGGGGTGGTGGTGGTAGTTGATGAGCAAGGTTAAATACAGATAGACCAGTTGGAAAGTTATTAGAGTAGTTCAGGTAAGAAATGAAGGGTGTTTTCTCTGAAGGTAAGAAATCAATTAGATTCGATTGGTGACAGTGAGACTGGAGAGAAATGAAAGTATATAAGAAATATTTTGAAGGGAGAATCTATAATATTTGAATATTAATTGGATGGTGGGTGGTATACCAGAAGAGAGGAGACAAGAGAGTGTAATGATATGTTGCCTGAGCAATTATTTACTCTGTACAGAGAGATCATGTTGTACATAGGGTACAGTAAGTAGAAAAATTTAATAGTTTTAGTTACAATAGAAAATACCAGTAAGATAAAAATATTTTAATAAATTCAGATAGTGTTCAAGCATTTTGGAATCACAGATTTTAAAAAAATTGACTAGACAACAATGCATTTTGAAAAGTACTGTTTAGTAAACATCTCTCTTAATTTTATTTTTCAGCCAAGCAACCGACATAATGGAAACATCAGGGTGGAAATCCATGATTCAGTCTCACCCTCACTTAGTAGCAGAAGCCTTCCGAGCACTAGCATCTGCACAGTGTCCACAATTTGGCATTCCTCGCAAACGGCTAAAACAGTCCTGAAATCTTCCGTGAACAGTAGAAAAATGGAATTGACTTTTACTCCTCCAGGTCCAGAAGGATTCTAATACACAAACCATAAGCAAGAGTTGTTTCTGTTATCTCGTCCACAGAACAGAATCTGAAAAAGCATATTGCTTGCATTTCAGGTGGATAATTTATGGTTTATTCTTCAGCTTTAAATTAGACTGATTAATTCACTTCAAGGCCTTAAATTATCTTCAATAACTTCTCTTGTTCATATAATACTTTAATTTTTTTATTGTGCCTTGTCATTTTGACCAAGGCTATGCAGGATTGCACTAGCTCCATAATGCAGTAATATTGATAACTGAAGATATTAAGTTTCGAAAGGATCTTCCATTATTTTGAGGAAAGAAAAATGAATTTTATAGGGTTTGTCCTACGCTATCTCAAAGTTTAAAACTAGGTTCTTTTTAAAAGCACTCGTATTGGAGGTTACCAGTAATATCTCCTGTCTAAGTTCTATAAATATAGGAGAACCTGCTTACCTTCAAGGTAAGTTATGGCAATACACTGCTTCAATTCTTATTTATTTTTCATTTCAGGGGGCAAATATGCAATGAGTTGGCCCAGATTTTTAGTAAAATTCATGATGTTTGTCTGTTAACTGTCCAACAAACTAGGTTTATCCAAGTTTACAATGATTGAAGTCTTAATTTTAATCAGTTTTCGACAAGAAGAAAGCATGTTTTGTGCTGAAGTAATTTTTTTTAAATTTATAGTTACCTGCATTTACATGAAGATTTACAGAAGTACATGTTAAAAGTAAGGATGACCAAATGTAAATTTAATGAGTGGGCCAATTGAGGAAAGATATATATGCACTTTTAATGTGTAATTTTTGTATGCTCAATGGTACATATATTTTTTTGCTTTTGAGGGAATTAGTAAGGTATAATTAATTGTGTCTTAACTTTTGAAAGCATTTTTTAAGACAGATGGAGGCAACTGGGATGCTTGTGATAATAGATAAGAAAGATATCCTTGATTATAGTTAAATTGGTTTGGATTTCAGATATTCATTATTGACTTTACTCCTGTTTTATCACACTTTGGAAAAGACACCTGAACAATAAATTAATCCTGGGCAGTCTACTCTCCTTCAAATAATGAACTGATATTAATTATTTGCCTGTGGGAGATGCATATTAAAGGAGAGAACCCATATACTATATCAGGCCACACGATGAACTTTCTCGCGCCCTCCCCCTTGTTATTTTTCTCCTTTGTGTTTCAGTTACTGTACTAACATTGTTGATGATATTGAAAATCTACATAATGTGAACAGGATAAACTATGATCTGCTTTCCATGGGCCAGTTCTTTACTATAAACGAATTTTAGCTTTAAACACATACACATGGTCAGTGTTTGATAGTTGTGTTCCTAGTGGAGATTTGTTCTGGTTCATTGTCCTGAAAAAGCAGGGGTGACCAGTGTCAGGTCATGGCATCTGACTTACTGTAACAGTGATAGTGTGCTTCTTAAGCAAGATTTATATTTGACCACAAGGGAAAAAGTGCATCATTGGGGGGAAAAATGTGTATACCTATGTATTTGCATATAGAACTTTATTCCCCAGACTAAAATTTGTATAATTTGTTTATTTAATTTTTGAATTCTGGACAAAAAGGAAAAAAAAATGAAGCCTGAGGTTTTAAAATAGATTTTATTTTTGCTATCTCTTTGTTAGGTGTTAATTGAAGCAATCCTAATATATCAAGAGTGATTCATATTTACATTGAGCAAACACTGTTAAATAAGCATTTGTTATCCACAACAAACTAGAGTTTGAAAAGATTATATTTTCAGACATCTTAATTTCTTTCTGTATAGTTAATTTAATTGAGTCTTCGTTGTGGTAACTTAAATTTGAAATTGGAAGAATCACTTGAGATAGAAGATTCTTACCAGGTTATGGACTTTATCCTATGTAAGAGTGTTATGGGGAGTAGACTCATTTAACTCCACCTTAATAATTAGCTTTTAAAATTTACAGTGTGCAATTTAAAAAATACACATCCAAACACATATACATACATATACACTTTTAATTTAAGATTTTGCCAGGGTCTTGAAAGATAAATTCCTTCAGACAATAGAATTATATTGTCATATACCTAAAAACTACTGGTGTATCCATTAGTTTCAAATGCACATCATGCTGGCACTGCTTGAATCTGCATTTCTAGCCACAGTGACTTCAGTAATAATATCATATAATGAACATTTCAGCTTGCCCTCACTTACTTTAGTGTTTATTACAAATCTTAAGGATTTTATTATAAAGATTTTTTTTTTTTTAAGTTTGGTGGCACATTTTGTACCAAAAATGTCAAACACTGTGCTGTAAGAATACAAGAGTACTTCAGAAAGTTTATGGAAAAATAGAATTAAAAGATAACACAGACCTTTCTGTGAACTTTTTGAAGTACCCTTGTATCCATGTTTTTAGAAATGTCCACTTTTCAGATAATATAATGCCTATGGTTATACTAACAGAATCGTATGGTGGTTGATTTATTTTTTTATTTATTATGTATATTTTTGGTATTGTACATTCTTGAGGCAATGATGAAAAACTATTAATGTATTCTGATGTGAGTGCTCTAAATAGCCTTTCCTGCCCCCCATTTATAAACTACATGTGTTTTCAAAATAGGCATAGATTCTGTCCAGAGCAGTCTTGTCTTTTGAACTATCAGCCTGCTTCTGTTTCCCTTTTCACCTAAACAGGTCTTTTCCTTAGAAAGTAGCGAGTGAATTACATATTATAGAAGTAACCATTGGATAACTTCTTTAGACCAAGATTTAGAAACACTATACGAGGGTGCTTCAGAAATTTCATGGAAAAAATAGAATTACAAGATAAAGTGAATCTTTCCGTGAACCTTTTGAAGTACCCTAGTATTTATGCCTTTTTCATTTTTTAATTTTAACATGTATTGATATTTGGAGCACAAATATGAAGGTGCCATAATTTGGCTTGCCAATGTTACCTCCTTGAATACTCATGTCATTGTCTTGATCTAGTAATTGGAGAACCTTGCATGAATTATGCGGTCATTTATACGTGTGTGTGTGTGTGTGTGTGTGTGTGTGTGTGTGTGTACACACCTCTGTTCTCTTGGGCTTGTGTGTGGTATGTTCAGAAGAGTGAATTTCTGAAAATAGGGCTCAGTTACTCTTCTCTTGGGCTTGTGTGTGGTATGTTCAGAAGAGTGAATTTCTGAAAATAGGGCTCAGTTAAATGTTGAAAGTTCCGGTTAGTTGAAATATTTCATTTAAATGTGCTTTATTTGGGGGGACAATTGATTGACAGAGGAAATTATAATTCTCAAAAATGTGACCAATTTACTGCATAATGAAATGTGAAAACAGTGCCTTTTTAGGACATCAATGATAATAAAAATTTTTAAATATTAACAGATCTCTTTAAAAATTGTCATGAACATTTATGGTTTATTCTTAAACTAGATCTGAGTGAAAGCTTAAATTGTCAAAGGTCTAATTACTAATTTATTTATCGATTTAAGTTTATGCATAAAATTTAAATCTAAGCAGAATTCTTTATACTGTTATGGATCATAGATACTACCCAGTGTTACTAAGATAGAACAGGGACTTTGGTAAGTTAAATTTGTGAAAATCCAACTCACCAAGCTTTGCTTATAGCCAAGTATACTTGAAGAGGTGAGTTATTCTGACTTGTACATGCACGCTCTTTGACAGATAAAATATTCAATGTATTCTTGCAAAAGAAAGTGGGTGGGTGAGTGGGTTTGTTTTAGTGTTCTCAGATTATAAAGACAGCACTTTTAGCACACATAAGAGTATTTTGCAAACCTTTTTACTACAGATTATGGGCTCTACTTTAAGTGTTCATAGAATTTTAGGTCCAGTTGAACAAATATTGAGTGCCTACCATATGCAAGACTTCCTCTTCACTAGAAAAGAAATCACACCGTGTCTTCTGTTTGCAGTATGTGAACTTTGTGTTTGCAAAGGAATTCTTCTATTTAAATCTTTTTCTGTTGTTAGTTTATTGTATACTGTAACCCAGTTAATTTTGCATTCAGTTTCTTAAAATGAAGATATAAATTAAGTGAGTCCCACTTTTTAAACTTTTGCTAAAATTATTTAAAAATTAGTTCTGGGGGAAATTGATCTTCAAGACTCAAATGTATAAAAATTTATATTGAACTTTTCAGCCTCGTTTTTAATCAGCTTATGTTAAGGGTGAGATACATACTACTTGTATCTTGTTGCCAAAAATATTTTTACATTTCAACACATTGAGTTAAAATAAAGTTGTTATTACTTATTCAGAATTAATTGGCTTATATTGTGTTTATTTGAAAAATATAAACTTTTTTTTTTTTTTTTTTAGAATTGTATGATGCTTTGAAAAAGACTTTTCAGCCTCGTTTTTAATCAGCTTATGTTAAGGGTGAGATACATACTACTTGTATCTTGTTGCCAAAAATATTTTTACATTTCAACACATTGAGTTAAAATAAAGTTGTTATTACTTATTCAGAATTAATTGGCTTATATTGTGTTTATTTGAAAAATATAAACTTTTTTTTTTTTTTTTTTTTAAGAATTGTATGATGCTTTGCAAAAGAACCATGAAGTTGATACAAGTTATGCACAGTAATTGTCTTTCTACATAGGGAAGCTAGTATTTTTGGAACCTGCTGAAGATTTATTTCCTAACTGAGAAATATTACACATATTTATTTTAACATGTGTATACCACCATGTGTATTGAATGACTTATTCTAATGCCACATACCCTTAATGTAACACTTAGAGATCACCTTTTCCTTGGTGCTCTATCCTTTTCTTAATTTTAGTTATTTCAGGCAACTTAATCATTTGCTGCTATCAGAAAGCAGAGTTGGGGCAGGATATTCCTGAATTAGCTTAGTAACAGTGACGCAATTAGTGCTTAAATATTATGACCAAAGTGTCAGTAGAAAGACATAGTGAAAAACCTTCTGTATACTTAACTAACACATGTACATATACACTAAATTCACCTTAAAAGAATAAAAGAAGGGTGGAAAAACTTAGAACATTGTCTATGCAAGTATAGTAAACTAGGACAAGTGGTTGGTTGTATTCTAAATGTTACCAATGAGCTATACCTTTTCCCTCCCACTTTTCAGCAGCCAGTCCCCTCAATCCTTTGAGAACATTGGGGGTGTTGTGTCTCTTCTATATGTCACCCAGAATAATTCGTTCCTAAGAGAAGGCCAAGAGTGGCATTTGCTTTACCAGAGAGGTTTGCATGCATCTGCAGTGGATAGTAACAAAAGACGAGTTTGTCATTCCTGTTGTGCTTCTTTTCCACATCTCCCTTTCTTGTTCCCCTGCCCTTGTTCCCTTTTGTAAAAGATTCAGATGTAGTCCTATGCCAGCTTGTGACATGACCAACCGCCAAACAATCCCTATAATAACTAATCTTAATCCTTTTGCTCAAATTCAAACCAGGCCTTAACAGACAGAAGCAAAGAAAAATTGTGGGATTTATGAATAACAAATGCAGCACAAAAAAAAAAGCAACCAGTGCCCTGAGGACCCTGATATTCACTTTGCTCTGAAACAGATTTACTGCCATAAGCAGGTTTTTAGAATGTATACTTTTATAAAGTGCTTAAAAAAATGTGAAGGTCATTATGAAAATCGAACAGGCAAAGATGAAAACTGAAAATGTCAAGCAATTGAAAAAGAATAGTAAAATTGGGTGCATTAAATTTGATAAATACCAGAAATGATAAAGCAGACATTTCAATCAGTAAAAGACAAGGTCAAGAAAAGCTCCCAGATGACAGAGACATGAATAGAGGTGAAAATAAAGATGATTCAGTTTAATTCCTATCAACAATTAATTAAATGGAGTGTCTGGCATGTGCTGAACTCTGTTTACAGTGATAAAGTAGAAATAGCCCATGTCCTCATGAAGTCTGTTTTCTTGAAGAAAGCACATTATATAACATGGCATGTGATAATTGTGATAGGAATACTAGAAGAGCATTTCAGTCTGGGTTGGGGATGGAAGACCCAGATAGCCTTTCTGAGGATGGGATGTCTAAACTGAGATTGAGCAGGAGTTAGAAAGTTTAGTGGTGGTGTCATCCAACTCATTCCAAGAAGTCCCAGAGGTTGACCAAGGTTTATATGGAACAATTATGTAAATGAAAATGAACATAGCTATTTTAGTGTGTAAATGGACAAAAAGACTAATGTAAACTAGTAAGTCTTGGCTGTGGTTTTTTAATAGGCCTTATTAAAGGAGTT